TGTATTATTTCAACTACAATCTGCAAAGGAGTGTAAAAAGTTGAAATCAGGATGATGAATCATAAAATAATGTCTTCAGAATCATTCATACATGTAAAAAAGGGCTGAGAATTGAACAAACTGTTGTAATCTGGCTCAGATGAAGACAGGAATCATGTATTTGTGGCAGTTTTTCTGCTGATTATGGTATGATACAAGAATTCTTCACCTTACAAATGGTTGTCAAAAGCCAGAATGCTATTAAATGCATCATATTTTGTGAGAAAATGTGACATGCTTGGCACTATTTCTGGAATCAGCACCTCAAAATGAGCAAAAAACGAGTATTGGATTTCATTCAGCAAATACGATGCAGGGTGGTGTAATCATGCGCTTGTGTTACTCTTCTCTTTGAGTTCGGCCGTCTCCTCTACCTCATCCTCGTCCTCAGGCTCTCCGGGATCGACTGTAGGGGGAGACGGGGCGCTGCTCACATCCGCTTCGGGCTCTGGAGGGAAAGACGGAGCGTTAGGGTGGACTGATCTGTGTAAATGACATGAAGTTGATGGGCTGAGCGGTTCAGCACCTGCAGTGATCTGCATGCTCTTGCTGTAGCCTGCGGCTGAAGACATGGCCTGACCGAGGGCCTGGTTGGTGCCCAGGGGCTGCTGGGAGCTGCTGGGTTTGCTGGAGGACGACCGCTGGCTGGTCTTGCCGTCTTTGCCCGGTTTGCTCCAGTACAGGTTCTCACCCGCCTGTAGAGCGGCGCCCAATTTCTGAGCCATTTCAACCAGCTGTGTGAGAAAGAGATGAGATCTCCTGTGATTTTTGGCAATGTGTGTGTGTGTGTGTGTGTGTGAATCATCATTAGTAAAAATCAGTTTTAATCATTACCAGACTGATATAATGAGGAAGAACAGATGAATTAATTAAAAAAACAAATAAAAAATATATATTTTTTTAAATTCATTTTTTACATTTACATTAAGCAAAATTATAAATTATTATAGCATTATTATAAATGCAGAGATTTATATATTATTTAAATTGTAAAGAATGTAAATATGGTATTTATTATATTGATTTTAATTTTAAATGGTTGGATTTAATAAAGTTTGTGGGGATTATCAGCTTTAATAATCTTATCAAAATAACAAAAACAGTTAAATGTCAAAAGTTTCATTTTTTTATTTAGTTATAATATGCCTGTTTTCTCACAAATTCTTAGTATAAATGCAAAAATAATTATATATATTTTTTTTAATCATGGCACTATACTGTTTTTAATAAAATAAAAATAAAAAGTTGTTTCCAGACATTGCTTCCATTATATTTGGCACTGTATTAAAGTAATAAGAAATAACAGCAACAAAAAAAAAAAGATTACATATGTTGGGACACATTACAGTAATGAGAATAAATAAATAAATACTAATTACATATATTTTTTAAAAGATACCTTAAAGTTTTGTTTAAGGCCCGTTTTATAGCAAGTAAACTATCTTTCATTACACCAAATACACAAAATAATGTTCTTTTTAGCAGCATCATATGACCCCTTTAAATTAAATTAAAAAAGTAACATATGCTATCTGTTTAAAAAGTACTTAAGATAGTATTAGTTGTGGTTGGCCAGAAGCATGCAAATTTGCTCATACATGGATGATTTTCATATTTAATATCTTGTGTAAAATATATTATTAATATAATATATCTTTATTGTCTTTCTTAATACACATTTTTTAAACTGTTTTTATTTTAAAATTAATTAAAATATCATAACACATTATAATTTTTTTATGTAAAGTCACACATTAATTATTTTTTAAATTAGTTAAAAAAGTTACTATTGTATTTAAAATATGATCTTTTTTAGTAAATGTTATGGTTGTTTTTATGTTTACATTTATTTAATAAAAATGTAATACTGTATTTTTAAGATAAAGTAAGAAGTCATTTCTTTTTTAAAAATAAATGAAAAAGCAAAAGTAACATACTACCTTATTACAAAAATGTATGTGATTACTTTATTAGTTTTTTTTTTTAGTAAGTGTTTTTATTTAAATAGTTTTTATTTTAAAATGTATTTTTTATGTAAAGTGACACTTATTCATTTTTTTTATATAATAAAAAGAAAAGCAGCATGTTGCATGTTGATAAAACTATGTCAGACTACTTCAGCAGTAATTTTTGATATATTTACCGGCCAGTAGCATGTAGAGTTCGCTCATGCGCGGCCGCAGGTTGATGGCGGCGCTCAGAAAGTGGAAAGCTGATGCGTACTGCTGCATGGTGAGATGAACCAAACCCAGATTATACAGGATCTTCCAATCAAACGGAGACAGATAGTTTGCCCTCTTCAGACAGCTGATGGCCTGCAGGAGAGAGGCAGGGGGGAAGAAAGGTAAAACAGGTCAAAGAAAAGCACTAAATGTTCTCGTGACAGTCTGTAACTCACAGCCACGTATTTCTTTTTGCCAAAGAAGCACATCCCGATGTTATTCCAGAGCGGCGGGCTCTCAGGGACAGAGTACGCCGCCACACGGTACTTATTCATGGCCACGTCATAATCTCCATGAGTCTGCATCATACTGCCGGCCGCGAGGATGGCCTGAACACACACACACACACACACACACACACACACACACACACACTCAATGTTAATGTTTTATAAATAGGAACATCATAGACTTTTATGATTTCTGACTTCTATGAACTGTTGTTTTTACACTTAAAGAGTTAGTAAAAGTTCTAAAGAACGAAACTCCTTGAAACTATCCCACCTTGAAGTTATTGGGGTCGTATGTCAGAGCATTTCCGAGGTGCTCAAAGGCTTTCTGGTATTTCCCAAGCTAATGAGAAGACAACACAAGACAGAAGCAAACAAATACACTAATAACAGATCAATTTGTTTCAAATTAATTAATGACTAACTTTTTTAATCAATTTACAAACTCAAGTATAGGAAACCCTGCTATAACACATAAAAAATAATTCAAACACTTTCAAAAATAGTTAATCTCATTTTTATTAACATGATATATATATATATGTATGTACAGCAATAGAACATTATTATTATTATTTTTTTTTTATATATTTACGGTTAGGGGTTAGTTCGAATCTGAATTTGATCGTAAGGAGTACTAGTGAAAATATCTAATAAGCAGCCCCACAAATCCTCATCTGCATTTTGCATTCTAAAACTGTACGTATGACAGTATAGATGGATATTGCTGCTGTGATTGTGATGAACACGTCACTCACCTGCATGTACAGCAGTCCCAGTGTAGTCAACAGCTCTGTGTTCTCTGGAGAAAACCTGAGACGGACACAAATAGAGGTAACAGTGGATATTTCAACCCAAAATCAAAAGGACAAATTATATGTTAAGGATGTTTTTAAGACCATTACGATTTTTTACACTCTGACATTATTCTCCTGACAATTAAGCACATTTGGCTCCAGCTGTCACTACTGTAACACAACGATTCCCAAACATCAGATTTGAAACATTAGTACTTTAAAGGATGACAGAATGTTGATTGTTAGATGAACTATTCCTTTAAATTTCCATTCAAAGTATCACACTTCAATCGACCAATCAGATTTTAGAGGCTTTCGATTTTTCAGATCTCTGCTTACTATAAGCTGATTTTAGGGGTATTTAAATGTACGATTATAAAGCATATTGATTCAGATTCAGACTGTGGCAGGAGACATGAGAATGATGAAAGCAGCGAAAGCTCCTCCATCACATGCGTGTTTGAGCAGCTCATGCCAGCAGCGAGCTGTTATTAATTCATACTGGCTGTGAGGCACATCTTCCTGCTATCGCGAGGTGAAGCGGGTGGAAAAGTGGGAGCTCTGAAAGCTCCTCTCATTACGGCGCGTCCCACTGCTGCACATTACTATATCATTAAAATATATATTGTCATAAACTTGTTGAAACTGTAAACTATTTATAGATAATCTACAGATTTTTGACAATATATTTGAATAATAATAATTATTATTATTATTATATATTGATCAAATATAATCAAACTGTAATCTATTTGCACATAATGTAGATTTAAAAAATATATATTATTCATAATATATATTCAAATTAATAATAAATGTGTACTATTATTATTAGGTAAAAATAACTACTAATAATTGTAAAGATACAATATTTAATAATAAGAAATTATTGTTATTGTAATTATTATAATAATTATACATTGGCAAATATACATTGCATTTATTGTACTGAATTTATAGTTAATTTACTAATAAATTCTATTCATAAATCACTTTTGAATAAAATACATTTATTTATGAGTTAATTTATAAATAAATATAATCTATTTATAAATTAACTTAGCAGAGTGGACTTAATTAAAGGTTAATTAAAATGAAATTAATTAATAAAAATAAACAAATAAATAAATAGTTCAAATAATTTGTCATCAACTACCCAGCAATTACCAATTTAAATTTTGGTCCACTACGCACACAAAAGCTATGATTTGACTGCACAAGTGATCTCGACTACTGTTATGATAGATTTATTTGTGCTTTTGCATCTTTTTTGGAGCTTGACAGTTGAGCTGTTGACAGCACTATTCGTTGTATGCAAAGGAGCAGCGAGAAGATTCAGCCTACTTTTGTTTCGCACTGAAGAAAGAAAGTCATATGGGTTTGAAACAACATGAGGGTGAGTAAATAATGACAGTTTTTGGGTGAACTGTCCCTTTAAGGAGAAAAACAGACTACTTCAGCAAGTCCTCAGGGGTTTTTCTGAGAGCATTTAAAAGACAAAGAGAAAAGAAAAAAAAGACAAGGTAGAAAGAGAGAAAAAGAAAAGAGAGAGGTCACAGTGAGACAGTAAATGTGATTAATTACAGCTATGAGCGCCTCACTGATCCCAGCATGCTTTGCTGCCTTGGGCGTCTTATCTGCGCTGTGGCAGAGCGACACGCTGAGAGCATCTCCAGGCGTCTGAAGTTGCTCTCTGGCAACAAAACTCACGTTGTGCGAAACATGACCGAAAATAAAAAGAGGCGCTCCCTCTGTTGAAATGCATTCTGGGTAAGTCACCGCACAAACACAACACTTCAGACACTTCAAGTCAAAATGTGACTGGTGACAAAACATAAGATAAAACATGTCTGGAGGTCCCAGCAGCTTCAGATCCGAACGCTCACATGACTCGCAATAAAGCGATTTTACGAAGACGCTTGGTAGCAAGAAAGCATAAAGTGTGCGTATTAAACATAAAACACACTGCATTGTTTAGAGCGAAAACAAATGCAGGTTCACCAAACTTTACTGTCTCTGGATGCTCTTGGTGAATGTAAAGTACCCTGTTGAAAAAAGAGCATATGCTGGTTAGGTATGTTTTGAAGCATGGCTGCTGGTTTGAGCTGGTTTCAACTGGTTCTAACCTGGTCATGTGCTTATGACCAGCTTAAACCAGCTCAAACCAGCAGTCATGCTTCAAAACATACCTAACCAGCATATGCTGGATAGTCCAAGAACTACGATAGTTTGGCAAACAGTATAAAACATGTGTGCTTAAAAGTGAGGTTGTGTATTGAGACGTACTCCACAGCGCTCTTGTAGACGTCAATGGCTTTCTCTGTGTCGCCCTGCAGTAAGTGGATTTTTCCCAGCATCATGTAGGTCAGATCGTGTTTATTCAGCTGCAATGCCAAGTTTAACTGTTCTTCGGCCTGAAGACAGAGAGAGAACATGTTTAGCACAACATCAGATGAGGACATGTGAAATAAGATTCTCTCAAATAAATTAAAACTATCCTCTGCCAAATCTGGAAGCTTTCATACAGCCAATAAAAGAAAAGGATGTGTGTTAAAAAATTTATATACTGCAGTAACTGGCTGCACTTACACTCCTGAAGTCTTTGGTGTAGATGTAGCAAACGCCCAGATTATGGCTGATTTCCTGCAGGTAAAAATAATCACACTTTTATGTAATATTTCACAGGCATCTCATTTGTTTATTGTCAAACTAAAGTACAGGTGATTACAGGTAAAGTTCACACACACACACACACAAATCCATATCACACCAGGCCTGTGGAATTAAAAACCTGCAATCTAAAGAATATACTCTTTTCCGTACAATAAAAGTGAATGGAAACCGGCTGTTAAAGAGGACTCTAAACTAAAATGTAAATAAATATAATAATAATAGTAAATCAAAACAACTAAACAAAATACACAAAAAAAAATAAAATAATAAACCCTAACTCCTAACCTAACAATTTAAATAAATAAAAACTAAATACACAAAAATATAAAATATAAGCCGATATAAACTCAGAGTTTAACTATAAATAAATTATAATAATTAAATACTAAATAAATAAACAAACCAATAAATCAATACAATAAAAAGACACATTCATAAACACAACTCATATAATATTAAATAAATAAAAGAAATATAGTAAATAATAATAGAATAGAATAACTAATAATAAATAACTAAATAAGTACATCAACCCTAACTGCTAACTTAACAAATTTAAATAAAACTAAATATACAAAATATAAACTATAAGCCCTAACCCCTACTATTTAAATAAATTAATTAATTAATTAAACACTGACTTAACCAATAAATAAATAAAAAATAAAAACCCTGATCCTAACTTAACCATTTAAATATGTAAAAAAACTAGTGCTGACATCGCGATTAATCGCATCCAAAATAAAAGTTTTTGTTTATGTAATATATGTGTGTGTACTGTGTATATTTATTCTGTATATATAAATACACACACAGTATATATTTTGAAAATATTTATATGTATATATTCATATTCTTATATTTTGTATTATATATAAATATATATTAATATACAAATATAACATATTTTTCTTCAATATATACATGCATGTGTGTGTATTTATATATACAGAATAAATATACACAGTATACACACATATAATACATAAACAAAAACTTTTATTTTGGATGCGATTAATCGTTTGACAGCACTAAAAAAAAAAAAAAACGGATCCTAACGTAACCATTTAAATAAATATGTAAAAAAAAAACATATATATACTGTCATTGAATGTAAAAGAGCTGTGTGAAGATATTTGCACATATGGGTCTGGAACAACATTAAGAGTGTGCAAATAATTAGAGTTTATTCATTTTTGGGTGAACTAACCCTTTAAATACACACTCATCAGACAGCACTCAGGACAGAGGAAGTGTACTTACCCAGTCTTTCTGATTGAGACGTGCTGCTTCATTATAAACCTCGATAGCGGCTTTGTGCTTCCCTAACAGGAAACTAAACACAGAGTAAACAGTTCATAAAATAACACATATCTTAATTTTCCATTCAGTTTACACAGATCCAGACCAGGTTAAATAGACACACCACATAAATACAGAGAGAGGTGTTTTTGAGATTTTAAACAATGGTGGTGTGTGTTTGGGCTGCTGCTTACAGGGATCGTGCCACTTGCTTGAGGTTGTCTGAGCTTTTGGGGTTGAGGATGGCACAACTCTGGAACAACTCCAGAGACTGCTGGATCTTCCCCTCTAACCGCATGATCAGAGCTGCACACACAAATACAGAGCAGGTATTCACCAGGATAAACTGGGACACTGGGAAAAGAGCACTAGTGTACTGCTCACTGCACAGTATACTGTGTACCGCATACTACTGTTTAAATCTAGTATGTGAAACAGTGTTGAGTATCATCGATATACTATTACAGTTCTTTTTAAGATTTATTTTTAGTGCTTTATGCCTTTATTTAGATACGACAGTAAGTTGACAGGAAGCAAAGTGGGAGAGATAGAGGGGGGGGTGTGATCGGGAAAGGTCCACGAGTCGGGACTCGAACTCGGGACGCCCGAAACGCAACGGCGCTACATGTCTGCGGCGGCTATGGGCAACGACAGTTTTTGTTATTATTTTATTTTTATCATTTTGTTTTCACTTTAATATTAAAGTTTTAGTTTTTTTTTTTTCATTTTATTTGGCTTTTTATTATTTTTATTTTTTACTAAGTCTATAATTTTTTATTCATTTTTATTTATTACTTTCAGTTTATTTAGCTTTAGTTTTTTTAGTACTAGTACAGTATCTATATCGATAATTCTATTTCAAGCAATTAAAATGTTTCTTTTTTAATGTTTTTAGTTGCAGTTAACTTTAATAACCCTGATGTAAAACAGTGACTTTAAACACTTGTATACTACAATGTCACATGACTTCATTAAGTTGCATGTTCAGTGAGTGGTGTCCAATTATCACACACATTATAATATTTTTAGTATCTTGGACTTTTGCAATTGTAATTTTGGGTAATTCATGCATATTGACATTCAAAAACTATGTAGATGCAGCATTCGATTATGCCATTTTGCACATCTGAGACCGACTCAGTCTGACCACTTTAGAGTAATTTAATACATTTACACTTTTAAGACTCGGTTTACTGTGTAGTTTACACTGACCTTGCACATACACAGCATATTCACACATGCCTTGAGTTTCATGCAGCTGTTCTTTAATAACGGCCTGAAAACAGAAGAAACACAAATCATTTAACATTATTAAGAGTATTCTACAGCAATTAAACTCTCTCTGTAGATTTTCTGGCTTTACCTTGCAGGTCTCATAATCTTTGCGGATATAATGCAGATGTATAAGCCAGTTTCTCCTCTCCAGAATCGGAAGCTCAGGAGCTGCAGACAGAAGAAAAACATACAGAGATGAATGTATATACGTATGCAACAATGTATAGTGGTGCACAAAAGAGCCTAGACACTTAAAACATGTCTGAATGTCATTGCAAATGCTGCAGGATGTTATAATGTTCATAAATGTGTTTGAATCAGCTGGTTTTAACATTTCAAACCTGACAATCTGGCAAATGTTTTGCTTGTAGAGTTTGATTGTGCAACATTCTTTACAATAAAAGACACTTGCTTTGACATTTCGTATGTAACGCAAGGACATTCAAACATTTTAAAGTTTGACTCAACTGTCCAGAAACTTTTTAGGCCAGAGATTAAAGAGATGTTTCATCTTGTGTAGGACATTAACTGGTCTAATCATGAAAATGCAAATATCAAAGGCGGCATTGAAAATCTGCAGAAAACAGCTTCTATTTTGGATATAGAGGGCAGACGGGCTTGCTGTGAGCCGCAGCGGACTCTTCTCGCAGTGGGGGGCCGCACAAGACTCCTCGTCCCGAATCCAGCGGGCCCCAGAACAAAAGGAGCCTGTCCGCTGCAACATGAAGCGTCTGCATCTTTCTCCTCTTGCTTACAAGCCCCCTGGCAAAATCTGATCTCAATCCGTTCTATTCCTAGACAGACTTTTCCCTCTGAGCCATAATCCTCTTCACTGAAAAATGGGGCCGAAGGGGAAAATAAAGGCAAACAGCGCCACCCACAGGATGAACGGATACACCGATGTGAACCGTGAAAATGCTTGTTTGGTTTTGCAGTACTTTAATTCTTTAAATTATTAATATATATAGACTCGGATATATATCTATATATAGATATCGGAGATTCTGACCTTTCTTTGGACGAGGTTTCTTGAGGTCTGTGGCCACAGGCAGCTGCACATCCTACACAAGGAAAAAAGGTCATATATTAATCAAATTCTGTGTGCTACAATGAACATTAGCCCATTTTTGTATTTATATTTACATATTCATATACTTTTTTCTCTTTAATTCATCCTTTTACATGAATTCTCTTTCTGTTTATTTGATGTATTATTTATTTAGGAGCAGAAAACACCTTACTGTTGTGCATTTGATGAATAAATGCTGACTAATATTATGCATTTTAATATTTAATATTTTGCAATAATCATAAAAAACTAATTATCTGAAGAAATTATCATAAGAAACTAATTATAAACTAATTTTTTTAAAAATTAAATTCAGAATGAACACATTTAACAAATGCCACCATGATTTATAAATAATTTACATTACATCAATTAACTTTTATTACAGTGATGACAATATATGTGACAAGTAATGTGCTTAATTGTCATGAAAAAATATGCCAGAATGCAAGAAATCTTAATGGTCCTAATATAAACTTGATTTTCTTTATGTAAAGCTCATTTTTAATCTTTCTTTGACAGGCTTTGCTGTTCAAGATTAAACGAAATATGAATAAAATATACCTTTGTTATTTAAAACGTCAATCTGTCAGATTGTTTTCTCTTTGCAGATATATTTAATCTGACGAGCAACTAAATAACACAATAACGGAGTACAGCGGTTACAGACTATCATAAACCATCATAAAGAAGATCTTCGTTCATATCAAAGGTATTAAATATCACGAGTTTTTGTGTTTTAATGAAAATAGACATAATTTCTAACCGTTTTCATCGCGTCGTCCGCCATCGCGCTCCGTTCCTCCTCACTTCCGGCGGACGCTTCTGTCACTATGGCAACACCGCGACGTTCGTCACCACGTGATTTTACATATATAAAACTCACTCCAGCAAAGAAATTATTTTTTAGTGGTAAAGGCTTACGTGATTATCTAAAAATACCGTTATAAAGTCCATTATGTGTTTACAGCCACTATATAGTAGATATATTGAGAATTCTGGTCGATTACTTTATTAGAATTATCAATGGTGAAGAATTGTAGGTAAATCTGCATGCACATTATGAACATAATAAACAAGTAATAATTTGATTCACAAAAGTCTCTCTCAAACTATAGATCGTTAGTTTAATTCAGACAAAGGTGTGCAAAATACACAACGGAATTATTTCAAGCCATTTCTGAGCAAATCATCTGCAGAGGTTGAATAGCACAGTCATAATAACACATGGACGACGAAAAGGAAATCTTGAGAAGATGAGAGCTACATCAGAAGATCTTTCATGCCATCTGATGAACATAACACATAATTAAACTTGATAAACTCAGGGATGGAAAATCGCACATTCAGCATGATCCGGTGAAGAAATTATAGCCTATGATTGTCAAATAAACGTTTTACAAAGAGACATGGATTGTTACAAACATATTTAATGGCCATCATTTTTATAATCGTGACCCTGGAGCACAAAACCAGTCATAAGTAGCACAGGGATATTTGTAGCAATAGCCAAAATACATTGCATGGGTCAAAATTATCCCTTTGTTATTTAAAACGTCAATCTGTCAGATTGTTTTCTCTTTGCAGATATATTTAATCTGACGAGCAACTAAATAACACAATAACGGAGTACAGCGGTTACAGACTATCATAAACCATCATAAAGAAGATCTTCGTTCATATCAAAGGTATTAAATATCACGAGTTTTTGTGTTTTAATGAAAATAGACATAATTTCTAACCGTTTTCATCGCGTCGTCCGCCATCGCGCTCCGTTCCTCCTCACTTCCGGCGGACGCTTCTGTCACTATGGCAACACCGCGACGTTCGTCACCACGTGATTTTACATATATAAAACTCACTCCAGCATAGAAATTATTTCCAGTGGTAAAGGCTTACATGATGATATAAAAATACCGTTATAAAGTCCATTATGTATTTACAGCCACTATATAGCAGATATATTGAGAATTCTGGTCGATTACTTTATTAGAATTATCAATGGTGAAGAATTGTAGGTAAATCTGCATGCACATTATGAACATAAACAAGTAATAATTTGATACACAAAAGTCTCTCTCAAACTATAGATCGTTAGTTTAATTCAGACAAAGGTGTGCAAAATACACAACGGAATTATTTCAAGCCATTTCTGAGCAAATCATCTGCAGAGGTTGAATAGCACAGTCATAATAACACATGGACGACGAAAAGGAAATCTTGAGAAGATGAGAGCTACATCAGAAGATCTTTCATGCCATCTGATGAACATAACACATAATTAAACTTGATAAACTCAGGGATGGAAAATCGCACATTCAGCATGATCCGGTGAAGAAATTATAGCCTATGATTGTCAAATAAACGTTTTACAAAGAGACATGGATTGTTACAAACATATTTAATGGCCATCATTTTTATAATCGTGACCCTGGAGCACAAAACCAGTCATAAGTAGCACAGGGATATTTGTAGCAATAGCCAAAATACATTGCATGGGTCAAAATTATCAATTTTTCTTTTATGCCAAAAATCATCAGGATACTAAGTAAAGATTAAGATATTTTGTACATTTCCTACCGTAAACATATCAAAACTTAATTTTTGATTAGTAATATGCATTGCTAAGAACTTCATTTGGACAACTTTAAAGGTGATTTTCTCAATATTTAGATTTTTTTGCACCCTCAGATTCCAGATT